TATATATATATATATTTATATTTTTTTTTTTTTTTTATATATATATATATATATATATATATATATATATATATATATATATATATATATATATATATATATATATATATATATATATATATATATGGGGGTGTATGCATTTTTTCCTCAAAAATAAAATAAAATAAACAAACAGATCTCCATTGCTACTCCTATTCATATACTATATATCATAATCTGACTGCCGATATGGTCAATAAAGCTTTCAGGAGTCTCCAGTTGTATTTCATATATTGTTTTTAGCGCCCCCTGGAGGAAAAATGGACCACATTTAAAGGGGACTTATTATGCCCATCTTTTTACAAAATCTAAAATAAGTCACTGATGTCCTGCTGCTGGTATCCAGAAATGATCAGATGTGCTCTATAATTAGAAAACACATCTGTTTAGCTGTGCCTTTACTGAATGAGCGCTGTGCGGAGTCTGACAGATTGCACTATTATGTTTTTTGTTTTTTTCATTTCATTGCAGCACATTTTAATCAGTTTTTAATAATTTATATCCATTGTGATTCTTGTTTCTTTTATTCTTGTTTAAGTAAAGCACTTTGAATTACCATTGTGCATGTAATGTGCTATATAAATAAACTTGCCAATTCAAACAAGACAAAAAAAAAAGTATATCAGTAAAAAAAAATGAATGATGAAACTGAACTGAAAATGTCCAGAGTCAACAGAGACTCCCGTGTTCATTTGTGCATCCTAAAACTCCACATTCATGATGCCTCTTACTCGTTGACATTACCTTCAGCAGGTACAGTATGAAAACTCTTATGGCAGATGGCTGCTTATGCTAATGAGGGAGAGATTTTCACTAATGGACAGGGCTTTCCCCTTCTGATGACAGGCACACACAGGGAAAAGGTCAACCACAGTGTTTCTACAGACAGTTTTTATCAAGTGTGATTATAAAAAATAGAATTCCTTAATTTTTGACATTAGAAGCTGGTTATATTTACACCCTGCTGCTATGCAACTGTGCTTAAACCCCTTATAAAAGGGATTTTTGCATGATAGGTTCCCTTTAAAGCTTTACATTATATATAAAATAGTCTCAAACTCAATTCATGAAGAGACACAGCTTTGCAGAGCTTAGGTCCAACCAGCTCCAACTCTTTCATTCATTTTCTTGTCGGCTAAGTCCCTTTATCAATCCGGGGTCGCCACAGCGGAATGAACCGCCAACCCACCCAGCAAGTTTCCACGCAGCAGATGCCTTTCCAGCCACAACCCATCTCTGGGAAACATCCACACACACACATTCACACACTACGGACAATTTAGCCTACCCAATTCACCTGTCCCACTTGTCTTTGGACTGTAGGGGAAACCAGAGCACCCGGAGGAAACCCACGCGAACGCAGGGAGAACATGCAAACTCCACACAGAAATGCCAACTGAGCCGAGACTTGAACCAGTGACCTTCTTGCTGTGAGGTGACAGAACTACCTACTGCGCCACTGCTTCGCCCAGCTCCAACTCAGTCCTGCTTAACAGTTTCCAGCAATCCTGAAAACCTGGATAAGTTGGATCAGGCGAGTTTGATTAGGGTTGGAGCAAAACTGTGGATTTGAGTTGAGACCAATGATTTTTTCCCCGATGAAGCCAGGACAACATTTGACAGGGGAATACTAGTGTGTGTGTTTAAACTCAACAAGGACGCATTATTAAGGCCCTTTCACTTGGGAAGTGGCAAGTGATGAATTTCTGCCCTTAGGTGCCTGCAAATGATTTGTCGAGTCAAGTGGTGATTGTGTGTGTGTGTGTGTGCGTGCGTATGTTAACAAGGTCACATCAGTATTTGCTCAAATCTAATACAAATGTCGAGCTTTAGCAGAGCAAATCTTTATTATTGTGAGTAATTCTGTGAAAATCTAGTCTCAGTCTACCCACTTATGGCATCTGCCTGGATTTTGGTTTCCAGTTTTCCTTAAAGTGCCAGCCTGAATCTCTCTGGACTTGTTGTGTAGCTATTTAACTATCATTGGTCGTTTATTCGGTAAAGCTACCAGAAACATACTTATTTGGTTTAGTAAGCCATAAATTAAAAAAAAGTTTAGGAACCACTGGCCCTGATAATGCAACATTTCACTCTTCTACTATTAGTTTTCATCCAGGAACACAAGATCATTATAAAATCAGATAATGTTGATAATTTTTGTGACTTCCTCTGATAAAGGAAACAGCTACAAGAGTTAGAATCCTGTAAGAGGAGATTCAACCAGATAAATGGGTTTAGATCAGGTGTCAGAAGTCAGCGTTTTCAGACATTTCAAGCATTTTCGAAGAGGGTTTTAGTAAATCGATGAAGAAAATGTTTCTTATATTAGTTTTGCTCTTTTCGTGGCATCTGGTTGGTGAGTTTTAAATATGTTTTTAAGAGTTCAACTCTCTATGTTCTGACACCATGTAATAAACTACTGGCTAAAACAATCAAACATGACCGACACAGCTGCTCTCGTATAAAAATCTATTGCAATAAAATGCTGTAAAACACACTGAAGGAACTTTAATCAGTGATCAAGTCTGTTTTGTCCAGGTGTGTTTGGTTTTACAGCAGCGCAACCTGTGAGAGTGATGGAGGGAGATTCGGTGACTCTAAACACTCATCAAGCTCTAATAATGGGCAAAACTGAAATTTGTTGGTGGTTTGGCAAACATTTACTTGCTGAAATGAATGGGATAAACGACAGCATCGTTGTACATGATGAAGTGTTTAACGGGACATTCAGAAACCGACTGAAGGTGGTCAATCAGACCAGATCTCTGACCATTACAAACTTCACTTTTGAAGATGTTGGAAATTATGAAATGCTAACCATGCCACCAATGAGGATCACTTTTATCCTTACTGTCTACAGTGAGTTACAATTGTGTTCCAGTGGCATTACATTTTTAGATAAATAATGTTTGCTTAAATAACCTTAAACTCATATAAATGCTTTCGAATCGTATCTGTGCTCCAGATACGTGTCAAGCAAGAATAGGTTGAGCAGCCTGGTGAAGGTGGCAGGCAAGATCATTGGTTTTAACCAGACTGGTCTAATGGTAATCTACCAAGACTATGTTCTAAGGAGAGCTCAGGGTATCCTATGCACCCCGGATCACCCACTGTACTCTGTATTTCAGCTGTTGCCATCAGGAAGTTGTTTTAGGGTTCCTATTTGCAGGACAAATAGAACCAGAAATTCTTTTATAATGGTGGCCATTGGGTCATTAAATGAGTCCAGGGAGGAGGGGATGTTTCTATATACTGATGTATGGATGTTGGGGGTAATATTTTATTAATGTGTACATGGAACTTCGCCTGTGTTATGGTACCTTGTTGCAATCTTAGTTTCCCTAACGGGATAATAAAGCTGAGTCTGAGTCTAAATAACAATAATGTAAATGTAATAATGTGAAAAAACCAAAGCATTTTATAATAGTATACTATATTGTAGGCTAATAGTATACAATACAATAATTTATAGCAAATTATATACTGTAGTAAAGTATAATCTGTATATTTACAACATTTTGTTAACAAGTGCTACAGCACAGAAGTAATGAAATCATCAACAATAATAAATACTGGAATAAACTTTAGTTTTTACAATAAACTGTGAGTAAATTTTACCCTATAGCTGTAGAAAACTACTGCAATGGATCAGTTATTTGTGTTAGTTGTGTTATGCATACTATAGTAACTGATTAAAAGCGCTTTATTATGGTTCAAAAACTCTGTAGTACTTAAAGTATTTTGTTTTTGTATGGGGTAACTTTAAGGGAAAGAAAGAACAAAACAGTGTTGTTAACTGAGGTTGTGCTACAAAGTCACACATTTGTGTGCTGCTGCAAGTATAGCTTTGTGTTGCTTTTTTGTAAATGTCAACCATTCTCGGCTTACAGACTGATGTCAGAATGTCCGGGTCTGTAAAAAACTGTAACAAAAAATAGAGAAGGAAGCTTATGTTATTAATCTTTTGATAATATTTATAAGTACCATATTCACTGATACACATTTATTAACCAAAAACACTTTTATCCAGCTATACTAAAATAATCAGAACATTATACTAACAACATAAAGCAAAACTAATACAAAAAAGACAGTTTCAAGATTCTGTAATTCCACAAGGCCCTGCATATGTACTTATACACATATATTTGTTTATTTGTTTGTCTTATTTATATTGTTTTTGTACACCCATGATCTTTCTTTCTTTCTTTCTATTTGTATTGTTCTATACTCTGTTTTTTAAGCAATAATAAAAAAGAGGGAAAAAAACTAACCCAGCAGGCACCTTGGTGTCAAAAAGGTAAAAAAAGATATCAAAAAATGCAAATCCATTTGATATAAATTGACGATGTCAAAATGACATCAAACTGACATCCAACATTGCCGACCAAAAAACATGTCAAAAAACTGATTCAAGTATTAGATGTTAATTTGATGTTGTTTAGTAGTTTTAATATGCATTGACACCAATACTCATACAAAATTTCAATCAATACTGTGTCGTTAATTTAGTGGTCAAAAAGATATTAAGGGTTTGACAACAAATTAAACAGCATTTTTGAAGGATTTTTATTTATTTATTTAATTTATTTATTTTTTTCATTTTGACATTAAGGATCCTGCTGGGAACAATTAGACTATCCTACAAGATAAAAATAAATGCTATTCAGATTAACTCAGCCTGCCATGAATTTTCAGATATTTTTAATCAAGTTCCTGATTGTCTATCTTTTTTTCTTACAGAAATCAAAGGCGGAAGCTGTGTATGAAAATATGCCCAAAAAAACGATGATCCATAAACTCTAAAATGCTATATTCTTTTATCTTAAATGTTTTGTTTTTAGATTTCACATGCAAATCAAGCTTTTTATTAAGTCTTGATCCCATTTATGGAATTTATGTTTTAATTTGGGTTATTTTTTTATTATTCTGTGCTCGGAATAACCAATATATATATATATATATATATATATATATATATATATATATATATATATATATATATATATATATAGAAATGTAGACAAACAAAAAAAAAACACACACTGCTAAAAACACTATTAGGACACCTATATTTCACTAAAAAGTGTAAATTGGTTGTTTTTGCGTTATTTCAAGCAAATTCGTACTTCCGGTTTGAAACGAATTTTTGAAGCTGCGTCACGGTCATGACATAATAGCTTGTATTCCAGCGTGCAGACTGGACGTCTGTGCCAGAGTGTGTCTTATTACGTCTTACAGTGTGATGCATTAATGCATGAGTAAAGCTTGGTTCAAACCAATCAGCGCGCTTTATTGTGCAACTTCATTAATATTCATTACTGTCATAATGTTTAGACTGCAGAGACGCCACGTTGTGTTGGCAAAACAAGCATGGAGTGTTGCTTTTATAGTTTGCTGCAGTTAAGTTTCGTTTTCTCTTTTTTTCTGTGAGAGCTCAGACTCACGTGTGGATTAACAGTGTACGCGATGCGCGACAACAATAACTTACGTGTCTAAGGAGGATTATTGTTTACCTGAGAGCTGCTCTCATCTCTCAACTCTCAAACGCTGAGATCCGGATTCGCTTGTAGTCTACTCTTAATAAAGACGCGGCTCTAGTAGTTGCTGGTGATTGTCCTGTCTCTACAGATTTGGTAAGTGAGCGACCAGTGCTCTTTGTTTATTCAGTTCGTATTTTATTCGTATCGAA